AGAGCCCAGCGCGGTACAGCCATTAACTGGAGCGGCTCTGGACTGGTGAATGATTAATAAGCAGCACCATCGCGTCAGCAGCTACGAAAAGGGGGGAGGCACATCGGTGGTTTATTTCCCCCTCCCACCCCATGTCCCCATTTCCAGCCCCCTCTAGGCTCAACTCAAAGATCGCTTCGGGTTTCTCTCACAGCATCTTCAGGCTCTCCTAGGACTGACCTGGACCTGAGGAGTTTCTCTACCTTTCTAAAGGGTAGGTTCCAGCCAGGAATGCAGATTCCGTCCCATTCCACCCCACTCCTGCTCTAAGTAAAAACTAAAGCAAAGCCCAGGCATATATGTCTGGAGTTCATCTTCATTTCTTTCAGTTGCTGCTCACTTCTGGTGATGGGAGGAACCCCACCGCTCCCCAGCTGCTCGCTGGGACCCCAAACACCCACCTCCTTTCCCACATGCCCAGTCCTTCAAACCTGCAGCTGAAGATTTCAGGCCTTCGGATGGCAAAGTGGATGTCTCCAGATGGCCCTTGCAAAGTGCTTGTGAGGTCTCGCGGTGCGCTGACGTCCTTTGCTAGGTCCAACTCCCTTTGGGGCTGGCCACTGCACAAGTGCCCAGACAAACACTGGAGCGGTGGAAACCAGACCTAAGCCAATGACATTATGAACACGAAGGACCACAGTGGTGTGTTCAGGGATGCTGAGTTACAACATCCATCGCCCTCCGCTCTGCAGCAGGGAGCGTTCAGGGAAACTAAGTGAACCATTGAGAATCTCTAACGAAGCTTGTAGTACCCAGAGCCCCCTCCATCTCCCCAAGGAATATCGACTGTAGAAACCAGGTCGCAGGGCAGAGCGCTCAGGAGGAGACTGGCACTCCCTCCGGAACCTGCCAGGCGCAGTATTGGAAATCCATGTAGGTGTTCACTAGGGAAAGATTAGGCTGTGTGGCTCATAACAGCTGCGCCTGCGAGCGTCCCTGCTGTACTTTGTACCCTGGAGAGTTGGCGGGGCGGAGGATGGAGGTGGAGAGCGCCAAGGCCTGAACAGGCAGGCATGCCAGTTCTATGTCCACGCTTGGCTAGCTGTGCAGATGATGGAACTGCCATCAAACCCGGCATCAGTGGAAAGGCACTCAGGCTTTCCCAGGAGGAATACTAAGGGATAGAGGGCCTTGAAGTGTGACCCCTTACTGGTCCAAGTGCCAAAACCATTAAGACATGGATATCAAGGCCCAGCAAGCCCAAAGCTCACTGACTTCTGGGAACTGCAGGCTTCTCTTTGAGAAAGAATGGATGTTGATTTTTTTTTTTTAAGGGACCCTGGGATTTCCCAGAATTCTATGCCTGGTGTCTCTTTGGCCTTGCAGTCTCGCCCTGTCATAAGATTTAGTCCTCTCTTCCTTTCTCATGAATGCTGCCGTATTCCACAAAATCCCTCCAAGTCTTTGCCTGAAGCATGCCAACCATCCCCCGCCCCCCGCCCCTCCCAGGAGTTTTGCTGCTTGCAATTACTCCTTAGTTATCTTCAGGGAAGGGGGAGAGGCTCTCACATCTACTTCAAGAGGTGGCAAAATTTGAAATTAAACTCATGAAAGCTGTTTCTGCCAGACAGTCTAGAATGCAAAACTAGACACTGCGTTTAAAGTAAAACATTTATACTCAACGTCCTGTTGCTTGTTCCCAGTGATTGCTTACACATAGGTGCTTCAGTTTCCCAAACTAAGTGCTGCCGGAAGGGAAAGAAACACGTGTAGTGTTCAGGATGACAGTCAGATTAAAATCAATGGGCACAGACTCCCTAAGAGTGTGTGCAACAGACGCTGAATTATTCATGAGAAAAAAAAATGTTGGAGTGGAATTAGAAATCTGGGAGGATTGGGGCTGTTTAAAGGCATTACTTTACCTAAACAAACCACCTTGCCTAAAGTAGAATGTGACTTGGAGCTTAGTTATGTTTCTAAAACTGGTTATACAACACAGCACATACAGAGGGGGGAAATGTCTATTGGGTTTAAAAAACAAAACTGAGATTTGTCCTAGAGGATCATTTTCCTTGCCAACCCCGGAAATGATTTCAATGCCTTAGCTAACCACTGACCAAGGCACCTGCTGCATGTCTGGGATGCTTTTTCAAAGGTCACCATTTACAGGCATTGGCTTTGATCATAATGACTGGGGCAGGGATAGGAGTTTATGAAAAGCAGCTTTGTTGTCAGAAATTCATTAAATTCACTTTTCAACTCATCACAGAAGGAAAAAACCTTCAATTAGGTTATGACTTCACAAACAAATGAAGAGAACTAGACAAGTATATCTCTTTCTGGTTGTGAAAGGGTTTTGATGATGTACTTATTCACTAAAGAGTTTGACAGAAAAGATAAAAGAAAAATGTAAACAAAGAGGTGGAAAATTTGATTACTCATACATGTTAATAGAAATAAGCACATCTTTGCAAACAAGTTTAATGATCTTTCAAAAACATCATGAGGCAGCATTCCCATCTCTGCCCTTTATTTCTCAAAATTGAAACAGAGTATTGGAACAACAACAAAAAAAATATAAAGAAAAGAAACAACCCAAATATCTACCAACTGATGTAAGTGTGCACAAAAATATGGTACATTAATCAGTAGAATATTACTCTTCCTTTAAAAGGAATAAAGTATCGATAATATACCACAATATTGATGACCTTAAAAGTCGTTTTAAAAATAAATCAAACTCAACAGGCAATAGTTAATTGGTTCAGTGTATATGACTAGTCTAGAATAGATACATATAAAGATTGTGCATTAATGATTATCAGTGGCTGGAGGAAGAAGGACCTGGGGAATGGATGACTTGGTGAGAATAAAGTTTCTTTTGGGGCAAGAAAAACATTTCAGAATTTAACAATGGTAGTAGCTTCAGAACAGTTTGCCTATACCAAACTCCCTTGGATGATATACTTAAATGACTACAATTATGGGTTTTATGCTAGTTTTATATCAATAAAAAGCATTTGAGCTGGTTGTAAGTCATGTTTCTTTCATCAGATCTTTCCACTCTCGTATGTCTTATCATTGTATCTGTGACTCCCCCTGCCTCAGGAGCAGATAAAGTAAAAAACACTTCTGGACTAAGTACTATAACCTGTAAGGTGACATGGGGAGTCCTTTTTTTGGGGGGGGGGTTGAGACAGGGTTTCTCTGTGGCTTTTTGGAAGCTGTCCTGGAACTAGCTCTTGTAGACCAGGCTGGACTGGAACTCACAGAGATCCGCCTC